ACTGGGACACCTGGTGAGCGGGAAACACAACAATGCACAATCAGTCCAGCAATTTTTTGCTGTGTTAGAGAGAACTTTTTGTTACAAAAGATAGAGAAGCTAACTATGGGGGAAGTTCTCCTCAGTTTGCTACTCACAAACAGTGAAGACTTGATTTGGAATATGATGGTGGAAAGTAATTTGGGTGACAGTGACCACAGAATAATAGAGCGAAGGAAGAGAGCAGAGGAATAAAGACACTAGACTTCAGAAAAGCAGACTAACTCAGGGGACTGGAGGGTAGGATACTCAGAAGAGCAAGTCTAACAGGAGAGCTGGTTGTACTTTCAAGAGGACCTTTTAAGTGTGTAGGACAAACTATCCTGATGCAACAGAAGAATGGGAAGTGCAACAGAAAACCAACCTGATTAGACAGCAATCTTTTCAATGATCTGAAACTCAAAAAGAAACAACAAGTGGAAACTTGGCTTCTGAAACTCAAAAAGAAACAACAAGTGGAAACTTGGCTTGATTGCTAGGGAAGAGTATAAAGTACTGCACAGGCATTAGGAAGGCAAAGGAAATAAAAGAATAAAGGATTCTACAAGTACATTGAGAGTAAGAGGCAGACCAAAGAAACCATAGGTGCCTTATGGAAAACAGAAGGCAATCTAGCTACAGATAATGCAGAGAAAGCTGATGTATTTAATGCGTTTTTTACTTCAGTCTTCACAAACAGGGGCAAGCTACCAGATGACAAGTGCAATTGGTAGCAAAGGCAGGGAAGGAGTCAAATAGCCTAGAGTAAGATTAGGTATTACTTAGACAAGTTAGATCAGGGGTGGGCAAAATGAGGCCTGTGGGCTGGATTCGGCCTGCCAAGGGATTCTATGTGGCCCACAGTGGGTCCCTGGGCCCTGCATGGCCCAAGCATGGGGGGCAGTTCGGCGAGAAAGTCTTGCTGTTGAGGCAGGGGGCAGCTGGACTTGGCTTCCCAGCAGCCCCCGTGGCAGCAACTCACTCTGCCTGGCTGCCACTGCCATTGTCTTTGCTGTTAGACCCAGCCCCACTGCCTGGGTACCCTGGCCTGTCTGCCCCACACCCACCACCAGGGGTTCCAGATGGAGTGGGCAGATGGGTGGGGTCTCCATGGAGACTGGTTTGGGACAGGACACACTCGGCTAGGTGGATGGGATAGGGCCACGGGTGGGCAGGGTGCAGCATCTGGGATGGGCAGGTAGGGCCAGGATCATGGAGCAGTGACAGCATGCTGTGGGGGCAATCTGCGCCCCCCATGTTCCTACAATGGGTGCTGGTTCCACGGGCAGGGGCCAGGCACAGACACTGCCAATGGAACCAGTGCTCGTTGCAGGGAAATGCAGGGAGCAGATCGTGCACTTGCCCCAGCCCCATGCTGTCACTGTCCTGGAATCCCGGCCCCAGCTGCACCCACCCATCCCCACAAGCAGCAGAAGGCCAGGGCTAATGGGGCTTAGCCCCCTCAAACGCAGGGCAATGGTGGCAGCACAGAGGTGAGAGGGCAGCTGGACAGGCCCTACGAGGAGAGACTGAGGGACCTGAACCTGTTCAGCCTCAGCAAGAGGAGGCTGAGGGGGGACCTGGTGGTCTGCCTACAAACTCATCAGGGGAGATCAACAGCAAACAGGCAGAGCCCTTTTCTCCCCAGCACCACCTGGGGTGACAAGGAACAATGGTCATAAGCTGATGGAGAATAGGTTTAGGTTAGAGATCAGAAGGCAATATTTTACAGTTAGGGTGGCCAAAATCTGGAACCAACTTTCCAGGGAAGTGGTCCTCGCCCCTACCTTGGGCAAATTCAAGAGGAGGTTGGATGATCACCTGTCTGGGGTTTTCTGAACCCAGCATTCCTTCCTGCCTGTGGCAGAGGGTCAGGCTAGATGATCTGTTCAGGTCCCTCCTGACCCTAGCTACTATGAAACTATGAGGGCTGCAAGGCAGCTCAGGCATGGGCTCCAGGTGGCTGTAGCAGGGGGGAGGGATGCACACAGACTCAGACATGCAGCCACAGCCTGTACGCAGCCAGGATCGCAGTCCAGCGGCATATGGAGCACTGCCCAGCATGGCAGGTAAGTCTGTGAAGGGGAAAGGGCGAGTGGGGGGGGGGTTGCCAAATCAAGGCCCCCCACAGTGGAATGAGGCAGGGGCGGGGGCTGGGATGAATGGAGCCCCAGAGCAGGTCATGGGATGATTAGGAACCCGAGTGGCTCATCTAAGAGTGCGTGGGGGCTCTCACCGCTGCACACACCACAGGGGAGGTATGGGAGGCATGTGCCCCTCAGATTTTTGTGCTGGGTGGAGGTGGGCTGCCCACTGTTGCAGGAGCCGTGCAATGCCATGTGCCCACCACTGCCGGGCTGTGCTGCGTCCCCTGCTCACCCAGCAGCAGCAGACACATGGTATTGCACGTGGCTCCCAAGGCAATGGCAGCAGGGCACAAAGCCCCCGCCCACAGCGGCAGCCTGCCTCTGAGTCATGCACAAATCTCACAACCTGCCCCAGGGCCCCATTCACCCCAGTCCGTCCTACACTGTCCCTCACTTTGGGGGGGGGGCCTCGAACTGCTCCCCCCTCCATCCCTGTGCGTGTGTGTGTGCGTGTGCGTGTATGCGCGCATGCGCACGCATGTACTCAGCCTCACCAAATAATATTTTCTCCCTCCACCTATGCCCATCCTGCTCCCTGCCTGTCCATGGCCTCACCCCATTCAACCAGCTAAGTGTGCCCTGCCCATGGCGATCCCAGACTGATTTCCCTAGAGACGCCACCCACATGCCTGGGGTCTGCTGGCAATGGGTGAGGGGCAGATGGGCCTGTGCCAGATAGGCTCAAATGCTCCCCTCTCCCACCAGCAGCAGCTCATCAAAATTCCCTAAGTGGCCCTCCAGTCCAAATAACTGCCCACACCTCAGGTAGATGTTTTCAAGTCGATGGGGCCATATGGGCTGCAACCTAGGGTTCTGAAGGAACTAACTGATATAATATTAGAGCCTTCACCTATCCTCTTTGAGAGTTCACGGAGGTTTGATGAGATCCTGGATTACTGGAAAAAGGCAAATATTAAACTCCTCTAAGATAATGAAGGAGAATCTGGGGAATTAGAGACCTGTCAGTTTGAGCTTGTACCTGGAAACATCACAGAGCAAGTCCCTAAGGAATCTACTGTATTTGCTTGACTACAAGGCAAGTCCTCCACCCCAGTTAGTATGAGGAAAAAAGCACCATGTTTTAGAATTGCATACTAAGGGGCAGGGCAGGGTGGGGAAGGGAAGAAACAGGTGATGCTGCAGCTCTGGCTCTGGCCCTGGGCCCAGGCCAGTCAGACCCACAGAAACCTTCTGCCTCCCTTTCACTTCCCCTTTGCAACTTCTGCACCCCCTTCCCCTCCCCACTCCTGTCAGATGCAGCTCAGCTCCAGCTTGGGCTAGCATCTCTCCCAGTTCTGGAGCACATGGAAACTCCTTCCCTTACCCAGCCAATCAACAGTGCCAAAACTGCTGCAGGGCCAGGCAAGAGCTTCCATGTGCTGTGCTCCACAACAGAGCTGAGCAGTGCCTGACAGTAAGTGTGGGGAGAGGCAGTGAAAAGCCAGGGACTGGGGAGCCTGAGGGGTAAAAGGCAGAGACTGGGGAGCGAGGAGGAAGAGGCAGAAACTGAGGAGTGGAGAGGGGAAGAAGCAGAGGCTGTGGGGAGCTGGGGGTGCAGGTGCCAGTGGGAACAGGAAGGCTACAGGCGGAAGTGGGTAGGGCAGAGGGCTAGGGGGGCACCTGATCCTCCACCCCACAGCCAGTGGCTTTCCTGCTGTTGCAGTGGGCAGAGGCCTGGGGGGCCCCCTGACCCCCCCCCCCCCAGCCAGTGGCTTCCCTGCTGTAGCAGTGGCTGGGGCAGGGAGGGGGGGATGGGATTCAAAACTACCCTCCAATATTTATATTCTATACCTTGAAAATTTTAACAAATTTATCAATTTTCTATACGTAAAAACTAATTATTGGGGGTCATCTTATATTCAAGTAAATATGGTATTGTGAAGTACCTAGAGGAAAACAAGGCGATCAGAAACAGCCAGCATGGATTCACCAAAAGCAATGACTAACCTTATATCCTTCTATGGCAGGAAAGCAATGGATGGGTTAGTAGGCACAGCAGATTCAGAAATTTTGTAAGTTTTATATGCTTAGTCAAGTTGGAATATTGGGGGGGGTGTTACTTTATAAAGGAGGAGTCTAGAGAAAGGACAGGAGCTCTGTTACCCTGTTTCTAGTGAAAAGTTACTTACTAGTAATAAAGTCTTTATTTAATGGGGAGATGCATTATCCCCGTATACATTTGCCCATGTGGGTGGGCTCTGCCTCTGAAACTTCTGACAAGAGACTTTTTTTTCCCCAGCCTTAACAGTACCTGTAAAGGATGCTTTGGCCCCTTCTCCCACACAGAAGGGAAAAAAGGCAAAACATACACACCCTGCTGCTCAGTTTCCTCTCAAATACAGTTTTAGAGAAGCAGGTTATAAGGAAGATAAAAAGGACAGCAGGATGTAGATGTGTGTGACCTCTCAAAGAATTCCAGATATAAATAAGCTGCATGGCCACTGCTAAGGTAAGAACAAGTCTCCAGGAAAAAAGATTCAGGGACTTAAGTGAGAATGTGTGTAAACAACCATTTGAAGGAGAAATAATTTGTCACCAATGGGTATGTTAACTAACTGTACATAAGGAATGAAAATAAATAGCAACAAACCTCTTACAGATCTAAGGAGATGCAAACACTGAAAGGCTCAGTGTCAGCCCTAATAGGTACTGCTCCAACCTTTTTACTCTTGACTATGGTAGTTGAAGGGCTCACAAGGTGCAGATGTGTTCTCCACAGACACCACTGTTTCTAAAGAATCTGATCTCATATGTGAACTGCATGCTCATCCCTGGCATATAATACGTATAGGCAATCACTTGAAATTTAGTTTTAAAGAAGAGCACTGATCTCACCAGAGGAAATGCCATCAACTCTTCTGAACTCATGGAACTTAACTCCTTCTTGGAAATGGGAAAATTTGGAGGCAAGAAGTACCGCAAACAATTCCTATGCAAGAGAAAACAGGAAGCCAGAGACTGATTTTAAAGTTTTGTTTGTCAACTGAAGTAATTAGAAATCATAACTGCTAATAAGTACCAAAAGAACATACCGGAGGATCTGGACTAGCAAATCCACTGTTTCTTGACTGCTGCTGGGCCCAGTGGTGTCTGGCTCAATTCGGACACAGTCTGAGGTAGAAGGCTCAGCTGCAACCACTTCTTCCTCTTCCTGTTGAGTGTCTGGACTCTGGTATTCTGGGGAAGGAGGCTTCATCAACCGTACATCCTCACTGCCTTTCTCTACCCTAAAGGGGTCAAAAGGAAGTCACATACCTGTTTCCAGATTAGACATAAGCCCAACAATACCCGCTGCCAGACCCCTTGTTCACTGCCATCACTTGCAGTGACTCCCTGATTACACACAGATTCTTTCAAAATGATCCAACAAACTTGCCCAAATTCCTGTATAACTACAAAACAACTTTCACTAAACACCTGGTGCCCACCTTCCTCAATGTAAAAATGGAATATTCCTTTCCTCAGCCTCTATGAAAATAAAAATAAGGTGCCTCCTCCCTCTTTCCCAGCACTTTCCTGGAAGCCTCTCCCAAACCCCTACAACCAAAGACAGTGGGTAGTTACCAGCGATCTCTTGGTGTAACATCTGTAGGTACGTAATCAAATTTCACCTTCCAGCGTACTGCATGCTTGGTCATCTCTACAGCTGTGACGCGGCCTGTGAACCACTCTTTGTTTACACGCACCTCCACATGCAGCCCTTTATCTGAGAGACAATAGGTATGAAAGTGAACAGGGTATGAACATGCACAAATGCCAGAATATCAGTTTTGCACAGCCTTTAAAAAGTTTAAAGGGTAGAAGCTTCACTGCCTCAGTAATGTATTGGGAACAAATCCAAAGCCAAAGACCGCTAAGTGTTGAGTAGGGATCCTGGTTTGCAAATTTGCAAATTATCCAAAAACCCCAAATCCGGGCTGGGCTTATTTTAGCCATGATCTGCAGCACTGGCTGGAGTAGCATGCCCCCAGGCACCAGTGCCTGCGCTGGGCACAAGCACCCTGAGCACTCCCCCCACTGCTGCTGCGCTACAGGGGAATGTGGAGGGGGTCCCCACACCCTCCCCACCCTACAAATGCCACACACCCACACCTGCCCCACAATTCCCCACATATACACACCCTGCCAACATACCCTATAGCCTCCCAACACAGCCACACCCCCTCACAAATCCCCGCCTCACAACCCACCACACCCCTCCACCCACACAGACACCCCCCTGGCCCCACCACTTCCACACATACACACACACACACCCCACCACACCCCCCATACAATATACAAGACTAAGAATGTATTTTTGAGTTATTATGCAATCACCTCTATATACAGTACACAAACACAAATCATGACAAAATATTTTTTGTAATAAAATTAAAATACATTATAGTAGGTGTTTCACTTTTATTGTATAATTTGGTTTTTTTCCTGGTTCTAAATTGGCAAACCCCCTTCCAAAACGAGTATTTCCAGGGGGCAAGGGAAGGGACTTCCAGTGGCAAAAGTCAGGGGTTAGGGGCGGGACTTAGAACCAAAAAAATTAGGGTTGGGTTAGGAGGTCATCTAGTTCAACCCCCTGCTCAAAGCAGGACCATCCCCAAATAGATCATCCCAAACAAAGCTTGTCTAGCTGGGTTTTGAAAACCTCCAAGGATAGAGAGTCCACCACCTCTCTGGGTAACATGTTTCAGTATTTTACTACCCTCCTAGTGAGAAAATTCTTCCTAATATCTAACCTAAACTTCCCTTGCTGCAACTTGAGAACCATTGCTCCTTGTTCTGCCATCTGCCACCACTGAGAACAGTCTAGCTCCATTCTTCTTTGAACCCCACTTCAGGTAGTTGAAGGCTGCTATTAAGTACCCTCTTCTCTGGACCAAATACGCCCAAATTCCCTCAGTCTTTCCTCATAATTCATGTTCCACGGGCCCCTCACCATTTTTGTTGCCCTCCGCTGGAATATCTCCAATTTGTCCGCATCCTTACTGTAGTGGGGGGGCCCAAAACTGAACACAGTACTCTAGATGTGGCCTCACCAGTGCTGATCACCACTTCCCAAAATGGAGATCAGGGAGCGGAGCAACTGTCAAGGGGCAGGGCTAACCAGGCAGCCCTCGAAAGCTCATCAAACCTTGTTAAGTGGCCCTCCACCCGAGATATTTGGTCGCCCGTGGGTTAACCCATAATCTACTCAGGGATAGGACAGCCTGGCAATAACTGAAGAAACTTCACCTCACTCAAACCTGTTGTGTCTTTATTACAGTGTATTTTCAACTGAGAATGTTCATAGAGTTATGCACTTAAATACAAAACTAGTCTTACTTTTTAATGGTTTTTAAAACAGAAGTGCAGTCCAGAGATTAGAGATCCTACACCATGCCATTTTTCAATGTAATCAAAACGGCCTCAGCAACAACTAATTTAATTACCTTCAGTTCTCACTGTTAAGCAAAGCATAGTCACTTCTGGTATAAACATTGTAATGTCAGGTTTAATCATTGAAGTCTGAGTGATTGATTGCCATATCAAGTGTTCTCTGTCACTTCTACTGTCTTTTGCAGTATAAACAAAGGGGAACAAGAGACAAAGTTCAATGGTTTAGTTCTTACCTTTCTGTACTTGTTTCAGATCTGTTAGCTCCTCTTCCCCTGCACTGTCTGTGAGCTGCAAAAAGAGAGGGCTCAATATTAGCCAGCTTCCAGGAAGTAAACCATGAACGTTCACCAGCTACCTTTTGTCAGAATGAATTTACTACAATCCTTACCTCCACCACAACCTCACTGGAGTCCTTCTTCTCTTCTTTTACCACCACAAACTTGCCTCGTTTTGTCTTCTCCTTCTTCTGCTCCACTTCCTCCTCACACCCCTCCTCTGTGGTGTTGAATGCCCTTTTCCGGACACTGGAGGCCTGCTAGGAACAAATGAGTTCTGGCTAAACCTGAGGAGTGCTGTTAGTAAGCAAGCAATTCAAAGTGGCAGTTTTCAATAAGGCTTAGCAACTAAAAGCACTTACAGAAAGCAATGAATAGCTAGGCACTGATCACCTTTGAAAATCTGACTGTGATGCTTTCCACTGGGGGTTCTGGGACCAGATTAAAAAAGGAATCTCGATTTGGTGATGCTGTGCATTATCTTGCCTAAAAATTCAACATGTGCACTTGGAAGTTGAATTAAAAAAAAAAAAAGACACAGATGTTCATCCTGGGTCTCCATATGCCATAGGGAACACCTATATGCTGTTGGGTCAGAATTCACAGCAGCCAGGACAACATGCAAGAGGACATACAAGTTGATGGGAAGTACAAAATAAGTTTGCCTGTTTGGGAAACTGCATCTCTTCTGGAGTTAAGGGGCATTCACACAGCAACCCGCATAGGCTGATCCAGGATTTTAAAATGGGTGTGCGCCAGATACAACTGGCACCACAATTCCACCATGTTGGGGAGGGAGGGAGGGAAGGATGAGACAAAGCACAGCTGGAGCCCCAGGTTCACAGGAGACATTGGTGAGGAGGGAGGGGGAGTAGGCAAGGAGGGAGTGTAGGAAGTGGAAGCACTCACCGCTATACTGTACCCCAGTGGTTCCCAACCCTTTTTATACTGCTGACCAGCAGGAGTGGAGCAGGGCACACAGAGCTGATTGCCTCCCTCCTGGGGCTGCCTCACTGCCCAGCTTTAACTCCGCACATGACTGCTGGTAGTGGAAGCCGCTTGCCCGGGCAGACAGACAGGGGTCCGAGTTGCCACGACCCAGCAGCCGCGACTCTTCGTGGCCCAGTACCAGGCCACAGCCCGGTGTTGGGAACCTCTGCTGTACCCAACAAAGTCCAACACCCCCTGCAGCCCCCCCCAGCCCCACTAGAGCAGGGCAGGAGTGGCCCTGGAGCTACCACAATGCCCAGGTCAGCAGGGGACAACAGTAGCATGTACTCCCCTTCCTGTGCCTATTCTCAGAGGTTCCAACAGCAGGGAATGGCTGCATAGGATGCTTGGCTCAGCTGGGAACTGCAATGGACCCCTGCTCCCTTCCTCATCTTCCCAGGAGCTCCAGTTGTGGGAACTGGCTATGCAGGGTGCCAGGCTTTGCCAGGGACAGCAATAGCAGCAGGTAGGTCCTGCCTTCCTGTGCCTGTTCCTGAAGGTAACCCTTGCTGACCTGGGTGGGAGGAAGAAACTCATTGTGCTATGCAGAAGAAAGGGGTGTGAGATCACACCACTGCACCGCCCCACAGGGATCTGCCCCTAGTGCCCCACAACAAAAATTCATTCATAGTTCAACTGGACAAACTTATATGTGCTCATTATTTATTTTATGCTTTTTATGTGAATTCCCACCTTCTTTGAAAAAACAATCACAAGGGAGTACTTTTTTAGGAAAGCCAACTGCATTAAAAATATCAAATAAATATTCCTCAGAGCCTGGGGCAAAATATGCCTGTTTTATTCATCTGTGCTGCAGTTCTGTGCCTCTTTCTCCGTTAAAATGCAACTTCAAATGATTCTGAAATGTTCAGTCTCCTTATAGCTGTAATACTGAAGACATAAGCTTCAGATATTTCTCATATTGTTAACTGGCAAAAAAGCAACTGCTACATTTAGAGACTCCTCCAAGGAGACACCCACATTCGAAGTGAAATGATGCATGTGCTATTTTAGACACAATGATTTTCCTTATAAGCCCAACTGTAGGCAGTCATGTCAAGATGGGAAAAAAAAATCTATACACAGCTAAATAAAACTTACTTTTAGAGAAAAGCAGCCTGTATCTCCCACAGAATTTCTGCTTAAAGCAGCCAGCAGAAAATAAAACATAAAACTTAAGTGCACCACAAACTGAAAGAAACAAGCTTATATTAGGGCAGAATGCTATTGGGATAAATGGGTGGGAACACTGAATTTTTTGAGGATCATGACATGGCATGGCTGGCTGGGTATAGACCAGGGATGGGCAGTTATTTGGGCTGGAGGGCCACTTAAGGAATTTTTCTGAGCTCGAGGGCCAGGGGTGGGGGGTGCTGACCCAACTTCAGCCCCCTGTCACAGCTGCTTCCATAGCATGACGGACGGGGAGTGGCCCAGGGACTTGTCAATTTATCCTAGCTAGATGGAGCAGGCAGGGTGCACTCAGTCAAGCAGATGGGTTGGGGCTGCAGGTGGGCAGGGAGTGGCATACAGGAGCAGGACAGGTTGGGGGGGGAAGGATTGCAAGGCAGTGATAGTGCAGGGCTGAGGCACAGCTGTGATCCACTCCCTGCATGTCCCTGTGATGGACACCAGGTCTGCAAGCAGGGGCTGGATCACAGGACAGCGATAGTGTGAGGCCGGGGCCCAGGGCAGAGTCACAATCCACTCCCCACACGTCCCTGCCTACAGAAACAGAGCCCATCCCAGGGACTTGCTGTAAGCAGCCTCGTGATCTTGGCCCCTGCCCCACTTGCCCATCCCGCTCCCAGACACTGCTCCCCACCCACCTCTGGCCCCATCTCATCCACCCAAACAAGTGTGCCCTGTGCATGGAGACCTTGCCTGCCTGCTCCATCTAGCACCCCCAGTGATAGCAGATGGGTCCAAGGTGTCTGGGCAGCAGGGCATGCACCTGTTTCTGTGCAGCAGCAACTGCCAGGAAGCCGAGTTAGATATTGCACTGTCCTCGCCCCATGTACTACAGCTCCCAGCATGCCCAAAAGCCACATGGCGGTAGGGCAGGCTGTGCCAGGTAGCACCTCCGCACCCAGGGCCGCTGGGACTGGTCGCATATGCATGGATGGGTCGCACATGCAGGGACTGCGCTACCCGCTGTGCCTAGACCAGGAGAGACCAAGGGTCGCATTGCCAGCCAGATGGAATCACTTGGCAGGCTGGAATCAGACCACGGGTCGTATTTTGTCCACACTTACATTTGTAGCCCTGTCAAATAAAGGAAGCTTCAAAAGGGCAGGACGCTGTTACATTCTAATTGTTGTGTGCGAATGACCTGAGAATGATTCAAAAGTAGCAAAACTTCTCCAATTCTAACCCAGGGTTGAAGTAATGTTAAAATTGGAAAGACTTTATTACTTTCAAATCATACTCAGGTCATTCACATGTAAGAATAAGAACAGCTACTGCTCCTTTGAAAGGGCTTGAAATGTACACGTGTCCATGCCCTGTGAATACACCGAGAACTTAGCCCAATCCAGTGCCTTGTAATACCCATGCCGTGTTACTGAATGTCAACCTTAGTCTTAATTTTACAGATAAAATTTTTTCTCCAATCTAAATATACTTAAAATTCTCTCCACTATTCCTTGTATTGCACGCCTATCAAAAACCAAACAGCCTACATTCCAAGCATATACTATACCTATGTATAGGGACCTACTTAATTTGCGGTTGGAACCTCATTTGAAACCATGCCATACTGACAACACTCTACTTAATACTTACTCTTTGCTTACAAGTATTCAGCAAATCAATAGTTACCCAAGAGTAATTCTATCTAGCTCAGTTTCTCCAGCTTGCACACTAGAATGTTATGTGGGACTCACTAAGTCCCAAATTGATGGCAACTAGTAACTTTGAAGATACTGAAGTTATGCTGACTAGCCTATCCTTCTTTTCCCCTTTTTAAAAGATGGATACTGTGTGCTAGCCTTTTTCCAGCCTTCTGGGACATTGTGCCCGTCATGCATGATGTTGCAAACATTGTTGCTAGTGGCTGGCCAGTTTCTTCAGCATCCTGGAAGGGATTTTATCAGGCCCTTGAGACAAATTCATTCAAATTTGTCAACAGATCTCCAACTGGTTCTTTAATCCTTAGCCTAGGTACCATCTTGGCCACCCAAAAGAAGGGAGAACCCAGGCTAGTCTGTAGACTTCCCTGGGTGGACAGTGTGCTAGAGCGCTGCTAAAGGGTGCTGCTTTAAGGGCACCCTTCAGCAATAACAGAGGGTCTTTCTTTTACTTCTTTGTTTGGGTTCTTTTGAATTTAATGCTGTATTTGTTGGGGAGGGGGGGAACTGGGGGGAGGGGGCATCCAACTGTGAGACTCCCCATAGGTTGGGAAATGTGGCAGCAGGGAAGCAGTGGCAATTAATACTGCTACCACTCCTCCACTGTCAAATTCCCAAGCTCTGCATAAATGGTTCGGGCTCCCTGCCGCACTCACCCCACATGCCTGCCAGCTGTATCTGCCTTACAGACAGACCAGGAAATGCCCATTCAGACCAAGGGGTAAAAAGTTTTGGCACCACTGGTTTACTGTAATCTGCTTTGAGCCCTTTTGGTAAGGTAGGATATAAATGTAATAAATAAATAAATCTTGCTAGCTGTCTGGTCACAGTTTATTTGTTGTGAAAACTGAGGCAAAACAGCTATCAAGCAGCCACCTTTGCGTAATCATTTACTAGCTGAAACAGGGCAGGGGACATGTTTCCTAGGTCTGCCTTTTCTGCTCAACATATTTACAGAACCTTTTCCTATCCTCTTATAGATGCTAGGGTTGGAAGGGACCTCAATAGATCATCGAGTCCGACCCCCTGCATAGGCAGGAAAGAGGGCTGGGTTCAGATGACCCCAGCTAGATGCTTATCTAGCCTCTTCTTGAAGACCCCCAGGGTAGGGGAGAGCACCACCTCCCTTGGGAGCCCGTTCCAGACCTTGGCCACTCTAACTGTGAAGAAGTTCTTCCTAATGTCTTTTAAGATCCCTTGCCAGATAGATCTTTTTTTTTTTTTTTATCTTTGCTTTCCTGATTTTATCCCTGTAAATTCTTGTTATTCCTTGATATATTCTTTTAGTGACTCACCCTTCCTTCCATTGACTCTACTTTTTTTTTTTTTTTTTTTCTGTAAGATTAACTCCTTGTGCAGTAACACTGGTCTCCCACGGTTCTTATCTTTCCACCATATTGGAAGAACTATTTCCACACACAGACCTATACATAGGTCTTCGAATGCACAAAAACATTTAAGCAGCAATTGAAGTAATCATCAAACATGAGAATGATGCATACATCATGAATAAGATGCAACTAGCACACTCAAATCCCTTTCTGAATCTAGCCTGTATACATACTCTATGTCTTTCTTTGCCATACACTTACTGCCATGTTTCTGTCCCACTAGGGTAAAAATAAATGCTGGCATTTCACAAGAAATCAAGAAAACAAGATACACTCTAAAAGTGGTGTTCCCACCCAGTAGGTTGACAACATTTTCAGAGTGCCAAAAACACCCACCACCTTGACTTGTAAGATGTTGGTGTGCCAGGGGGCGGACAGTGGGGGAGCTACGAGGGGCCCAATCCTTGTTGTGGCAGCACAGCTCCGGCCCCTTCCCTGCTATTCACCCCGAGGTGTGTGCACCAAGCAAAATGCCTTCGCATGCCCTGGCACCCATGCCGGGGGTTGCTTACCCATTCTGGATGAAGTATAGGGTTTGGCCAGGCTAAGGGATAGGGTTGTTCATTTTCCATCCTGCAACAGAATGATCTCACCTGAGAAGCTTTGAGGGAAACAGGTTTCTTCACTGCTGCCATCTTGGAAGTTTTAGGGCTGGGTGTCTCACGTTGGCTCCTGGAGTTCTGTGGAGGCACAGACGATGGCCTCCCCACTGGGAGAGGTTTGGCAGGAGATCGAACAGTTACGTTGTTTGGCTTCCCAACAGCCACTATATGCTGATGTGTTCTAGAAGTACTGGCCTCCTCCCTGGACAGCACACTTGCCAGCCTGGGGGTGCTGATGGCTGGCCGAGCCACAGGACCCTTTCTCAGCTGACTGACAGATCTGGGGGGAGGATGTGGCACTGGTGGTCTGCTGGGAGCATTTTTAATCACATCAGGTAAAGGTGGAGATCGTGGGCGCTGAGGTCTGTTCAGTGATTGTGAGTTCTGGAAGAAGACAACACACAATGGAGAAGAATGAAAGAGTCAAATGTTGCTTGCAGAATTGTTCAGGATGCCACAGCAGAATACAGGACAGTAGCAGCACTGGAGCTTTGGTACTTACTTCCACCACAGGCCGTGTGGTCACCTCCAAAGGCAGTTTCTTTAGATCAGCTTGGGACCGGACTGGAGTAGTTTTCTACAGTAAAAACAGTTTGATAGGTCATTTTCAAAGCTGTTAAGTGGGTATGGATAAACTTATCTTTTTAAGCACTTTAAAATGACGAGGGAGCACTGGCTTGAGCACGAGCACCAGCTAGCACCAGCACCAGCACCAGCAGGAGCCAGCGGTCCTTATGGCCACTGTGGTCCAGCCTTGCAGCCAGCTGAGAGGGTTGGGGGTGGAGTCACCAATAAGAAGGGAGCAGCTAAGATGACAGCCACCACCCCCCACAACCCAGCCACTGATTGGCTGAGGGCTGGGCATCATGTGGCTCCACTCCTTTCTGCCAATCAGCAAAAGGTAGGGTACCAAGGCCCCATGGCTAATCAATGGTGAGGGACAGGTTTACTCCGATAAGGCTGCAAAATCAGCTCCAAATCCCTTTTGCTCGCTGTGCATGATCCTGTAGCAACACAAGTTAGTGAAACTATCCGAAGTTGGAACACGAATGAAAGAGTTAAAGCTTCAGTGGCTTGCACAGCTACAGAATCATGCAGATTTTATAGCTCTACTGTAACAGTTATACAAGTTGTACGGTGTGATATACATCCAGCTCTTACATAGGTCTACCAGAGGCATCAGAGCCCCTTAACCCAGACCTAGGAAATAGGGGGCAGGGCCTGCCACTGAATTCCCAGGGGAGGGGTGGGGGGCTGCAATGGCTGCATCCAGGTCCAGAAGGGGCAATCAAGTATGATACCCCTAGTCTGTATAGTGTGCTTAGACTTTATTGTTATATATTAACACTGCAATGTATGATCAGCAGCACATAAGTGGATTCTGTTGGTTCATGCAGACAAGTGGCTCATCACCTCATCTAGAAAAAATGGCACATGGGAATGACTCAGTTGGAAAGATAGGATGTGGTCTGAGCTATCCAGATATACTTTCTTTACTAATATAACTAACCCTAATATAGCTATGTCAGAGCACACCAAGACAGACAGCTACCCAATGTCTGTCTTTGACCACAAAGAGGTCCTTTTGACCTCCTCCCCCATCCAATTTTGATCAGATCAGTGATTCTCAACCAGGGCCCCACAGCACCCTGGGATACTATGAAATCCTTTTAAAGGTGCCATGCAATATTAGCACTGTTATGTGTACAAACATCTACACGATTCACAAGATAAACCTAAAGATTTCAAATAGGAATCCAGTGTCAAAAACATTCTGATCTGTTGTGATCTTTCTGAGTTCTCTGCAACATGAGATTTGCTTTATGATTTTTCCCTAGTCAAAGAATAAGTGAAATCTCAGAGACGGCATTTTCTGAGGGGCACCTTCGGTCTAAAAAGGTTGAGAACCACAGCTCTAGATTCACCTGCAATGCCTCCAACTTCTCCTGATGCTGTCGGATCTTCTCTGTCAACTGTTTCTGCTTTTCCTCCTGTGACTTAGAGTCCTTCTTTAGTGTTCCCAGAGGTACCTTTTGCTTCTGCTCTGCAGTCTCACACCTATTACACAGACGAGGAAAACAGACAAGCTAAGTAAATGACCTAGAAGGACTTGGTAAAAGAGCAATACTGTCCGCAAGGAAATGTAGACATGACATTTCTTTCCTCTCTGGAATAACCTTAACCTCAGCAACAAAGATTTACAGATTTTATATAGGCAGACATGCACATACAATTCGTGGCTTAAGAATTTAATGGTTAATGATGCTGTCTTTAAAATAAACCCAATAACATTGGGAGCTTACTGTCATAAACCACCCAGAGAGCAACAGTTATGCAGGACAGTAGCATAGATCACTACTGCAGTTATACGGGCCTCTAGTTGCCAGTTCCCATGCTACTACTATTGACTGGAGAGCTCCCTCTGGCTACTCTTGTAAGCAAAGCCAAAGTCTTTCCCTAATCAGTTAGTTATTTTGTACCTGAAATTTCTCAGAAGTTCAAAGTGGTTAGCATTAATTTTTTTGTCTTACTTACTTGTTCAGCTCTAAAACAGAACATGATACTCTGCAAACTGACCTGGTACTTCTGTGTTTGATGTAGACTTTGTTTCTGAAGTACTCTGTGGTACTTCTATTAGCAGATTGAGGTGAAAAGGGCTATCTGCCACCAGACTGCTCTTGCATTGCATTTAGTGATGATTTTTTACTGCATACACTTTGTCTCTTGCACACATGCCAGACTCCAGTGTCAATAAAATTTGACTGGTATAGATGCATTTACCATGGTTTGCATCAGTGTTTGCAAGTTTTACAGGTTGAAATTCACTAAGAGCCTCTTTCGAACAGCTTACAAAAGAGACTGGTGAGTAATCCTCTTCTGTTAATAAACTGAAGCACAGGAATGAAGGAAAAAACCTCACATGCTGAGGCAGTTTCTCAGGTTAGTAGAAAATGAAAATAACCTATGATTGCACATGCATTTGGATTATCCACTACATGCAGACTCTCTTTGAATCTAGTGAGTCCAATGCAAACACATATCACTGACTTCTGTGAGCACATTTAGCTTCTCTGGTCGCTGGGCCAGCATGAAGCTATTGGGTTTTTTGGGCTTTTGAGTTTTCAGTACTTGCACCAAGACCTTTGTTACTTGAAACACTGATGGTAAAGCATTTGTAAGCCTTCTTGCCACCAGACAACTCAAGGAAAATAATCAGTTAAGAATGGACTTGTGAAAGTTTCCCATTCAAAGTAAAAGCAGAAGGCAGGGCATGTCATCTTAGAGACTAACTCATTCAGACAGGTATACACTTCTGTAGGTGACAGCCTAGTTGAGATGCACCAATACAATGGTCCATATCATATTGGCACCAATAAAAGGAAAACTGACATTATCAGCAATCAGTTTTTTTGGCTGATAATGTCACCAATAAATGCTGCATGCATCCATGCAACCGCAGCACAGTATGCAGGTGGCCAGGAATGCAGCCCCGGCAGCTTAGAGAGCACCATCCAGCCGGTAAGTCTGTGGGGGGAAAGGGATGTGAGGGAGGGGAAGGGGCATGGGGGGCACAGACTGAGGCTCCCACAGTGAGGGAGGGAGGGAGTGGGGCTAGGACAGGAGCAGGCGCTGCCCCACCGGGGCGGGGCAGGGGACAGCCACAGGCGGCTTGTCCAGCGGGTGGGCAGCTTCTGCCACTGTGCGCACCCCTGGGGGAGGCATGGGGGCATGTGCTCCCTGGATCTGTGCATGGGGCAAGGGCAGGTCCCTGCTGCAAGCTTGAGGCCAAGACTGTGCAGCACCACCGCCTGCCTAAGCACAGCCCTGGCCCAGCACCCCCCGCTGGGAAGAGGCCAGCGCAGCCTCCAGCCCCCCTCACCCCGCAGACAGATCCAGGGGGCACATGCACCCCATGCCTCCTCCAGGGGTGTGTGCAGTGGCAAGAGCCGCTCCCCCTCTCTCCACCCCTCCAGATGAGCAGCTCCAGCCCATGCCCTACCCCAGCTGAGCAGCCCCAGCCCCACTTCCTCCCTCAATGTGGCAGCTTCGATCTGCCCCCACATCCCCTCCACAACTTGCTCCTTCCACCAACAGACTTACCAGCCAGATGCTGCTCTCCAAGCTGCTGGGCTGCATATCGGCAATCGGACTAGTATCAGCCAATATAGATGGTTAATAAGCTACTGGTATGGTATTGGCCCAAAAAATCTATATTGGTGCACCCCCCTACAGCCTACTTCATCAGATTACAGTGACAAGAGGTATGTCTTACCCAGAAGCAGAGCTTACAGAGGTATCAATGCCTGTGGAATTTGGCAGCTTCAGTAACTATAGTATATTCAGTGTTCTGGAGATGAGAGCAGTTCTAGGTGCTTTAAAGCAGCATTTCTCAACCCATAGGTTGAATATATGAAAGGGTCGCAAACAAAATTAAAAAATGGATTCTCCTTTAACGGAGAAAAACGTGGGAAACCGTGGCTTTTCTCTTACAGGGCAGAGTTCCAGCCTGCGAGGGGCTGTTTGGAGCCCCTCCTACACCACACACCCACCCCCAGCCCCACACACTGGGGTCTGCGGCCAGGGGGCAGCAGGTTGGGATTGGTCATTGATGTTTACAAATGGGTCCTGGTACAAAAAAGGTTGAGAACCACTGCTCTAAAGACATTTAAAGACCTGCTACTCTAAAGGGTGCTCTCCTTCCACACTAACTCTCATGGAAAACATCAGACAAATATATTGCATATTAGGAAAAACACTACAGCCTCTTACTGGCCTAGACAAGCTAGTTCTTAATTCCCATACTAGGAAAATAAGTAGGTCAGAATTAAGAACCAGCACCCTACGCCAGAGAGAGGCTGTTGTGGTGTTGGACTGCTGAATTCTTTCCAGGAATTTTACTCTCTCTGTCACTAGTTAAAAAGCATATAGTGCTTCCCCAGTGCGGGTACAGCTTGTTTGCTAGAACAGTTTCTTATCAGATGTCTTTAAAGAATGGGAATTACTGTATAGGTAAGTAATTTTCACTTCTTCAGAAAAATTGTATCATCAGAATTACTGTAATTCTCACTCTTCAAAGACATCTGAAAGAACTCTACTACCGACCTATAATTTCCATCTCTAGAAAGTGAATTTGTTTTTAAGAGTGCATCTGTATGTGTTATTGTGGAAGCACCAAGCTCCATGGTTAAGACTGAGTTCCACTTTACATTTCAAGTGGGGACTCTACCTCTATTTTTATAAGAAAGGAAGCTTATCCTTCCCAAATTATAGAGCTTGTTACAAGCATCAAAAGAATTAGGACTGCTACCTTAAAACATTTAGCATTGGCCCAGCCCAATAACACTCTACTTACAAATTCCCCCTCAAATAAAAATTACTATAGAGGGTGATAGCAGGAAGGTCACCCCAGATGAGGGACTCCCCCTAAAAGAATAGCATAAAAAAAAGCTGGGAGTTAGACAGAGTTAATACTGTACAGGTGGTGACATCAGCGCTTCTCTGGTAGACCTACTGTCTATGGAACCTAAGATTTCATTTTAGTTGTGGTTTAAAAATTAAGTCTTTATGATAGCAGAGAATGTCTTCAGAACATGAACCAATACACTGCTCCCTCCCTAATTTTACAGACAGTCATGCTCTAAAACAGGGCAGGCAATTATTTCAGATAGAGGACTGCTTAATGAGTTTTGGTGAGCTGTCAAGGGCTACATGGATAGCCCCACTCCTTTAATGCTGCCCTGCCCCCTGGTTGCCATCTTGGGACTGGAAGTCCCAACCCCTAACCCCTGACCTTTGCCATGGGAAGTCCCTCCCCTTGTCCCCCAGAAATGTTCCTTTTGGAAGGGCAGGGTTGCCGTCTTAGAACCAGAAAAAAACCATATCATACACTAAAAGTCAAACACCTACTATAACCCATTTTCATTTTATTACAAAAATATTTTTGTCATAATTTGTGTTTGCATAGTGTATACAGTGGTGACAGCATAATAACTCAAAAATAAATTCTTAGTCTTGTACATTGTGTGTGTGTATGGTTGGGTGTGGTGGGGCATGTATGATGGGGTGTTGGGGGTATGGGTGTATGTATATGGTAGGGTTTGGGCGTTGTGAAGGGGTTTGGCTATGTGGCGTTTGTGGGGTGTGAGGGTGGGACAGTGTGCCCCCCCCTTCGCCACACTCCGCCAGTGGTGCAGGAGCAGCAGCAGTCAGGGACACTCAGGGCACTCGTGCCCAGCCCAGGTGCTGGTGCCCAGTGGGGCACAGCTGCATCCAGGACTGCACATCACAGCAAGGAGCACAGTCTCTGCAGGCCTGTCTCTATCGCCAATACTCTCTGCACTTGCCAAGCATGGGAGGGAAAGCCCATGCGCTGGAGCCAGCTGCCTTCCCTGCCCCCCAGGGGAAGGTGCCCAGGGCTTCCCTCCCATGCTGCACAGCTCTGGTGGGGAAGGCAGCGAGCTCCAGCATGTGGGGCTTCCCTCCCATGCCATGCAAGTGCAGAGGCTACATGTATGTGGTGAGGAGTGCTGGCAATACAGACTGCCTGATGGAGGCTGTGCCCCTCACCGCAACGTGCAGCGCTGGCCAGAGTGCCCTGAGTGCCCCTGCCTTCTGCTGCTGCCACTGCCTGCCTGCTGGGGCTGCATGCCATGGAGAAGTGTGATGGAGGTCCCCACACCCCACTACAATCCCTCACACCCTGCCCAGCCAAGCTCTGCACTGCCGCCACCCCCCAGGGCACAGGCTCCACGCTGCCACCAGCCCCAGCCCCATGCTTCATGTTCCTGTTCAGCTGCAGCTGTATCCCCGCCTGTTTCCTACCTGCTGCCCAGAGCGATCTGGAGGCAGGGGAAGCCGAGCAGGGGTCCCCAGCAGCTGCAGAGATGGCAAAGCTGCTCCTGGCCAGGCCGGCCCTTCTGCCCACAAGGGTGAGAGCAAGGCACAATAGGGTAGGTTTGGAGGGGCAGGGTATACATGGGCACCTCCCTTCCACCCTTGTGGGCAGAAGCACTGGGCGGGGCACAATTTGTTAGTGGGCACTGTGGACCAGATTAAACTGTTTGCTGCCCCGGCTCTAAAACTATTCTTACACTGCAACTAGTGCATGAGGAAAACCTCATGTGCTAAGGCAGTTTCTCAGGCAAGTATAAAATGTCAAAGGTAGTGCAAAATAAGTCTATGACTGTATGACTGTAACTAAATGTGATTACGTTATAGGTAGGTATACCCATACTAACCTGGGCAGCAAGCATAAGGCAGGAGACTGTATAAGTCCATTACAGACTATGGTTATATATTCAGATCAACAGCCTCTGCTAAATTTGCATTGCCATGTCTTCATTACTCCAGCCAAGCTAGCTCATCTAAAATTAGTATGGACACGCCCTCACATACCTACAATTATATTTCTAACTGTAGTGTTGACCAAACCTGAAAGCAAGGTTCTTTGGGTAGATGTGATACCTTTTATTAGACCAACTAAATAGTTAAAACCTTGCATGTCTATGTCCTTAGACCAACATGGCTACAACCAACAACAAAACGTGAAGAAAGCTGATCATTTTTCCTATGCAGCCAATCGAGTATGTTAACAAACCAAGTTATGGTGTTTAATAGCAATTTCTTTAACTCTTTCACCACTGCTCATGAAACATCCTGATGCACTGAGCTTGTGGGTTTAGTTTACTGCACAGCACCATTATTCACTACATCAAATCTGTCCTAAAGGAGGCAGAGCTCAGAAAAACCAAGGGATATTAACACCAGTTTCCTACCATGGCCCACACACTTACCTATCCTGTTCAGGATCAGGGTTCATATTGCACACCCAACTATCAGGGTAATTCTTCTCCACGGAACTCAGCTGGAATGGGAGGGTCCGCCATTTCAGACACAGATCTGTTATATAAAACATACTATAGTCAGTGGCACAGATGAAATGACACAAAATGCAGCCCATTCCTGGTTTCACCGAAAGCCCATTTTACAACTAAACATCTGATGACTACTCAAGGCATCAGCCTGGTGACAAGCAGCCTCTCCAGCTACTGGAACACAGATTCATAGATGTTAGGGGCTGGGAGAGACCTTATAAGATCATCTTTCATCTCTCTCCAGAACATATCACTGTGTCAAACTTTTTTCTTTAAAAAACAAATCACTTGGGTGGAAGCCAAAAAGGGATATGACTCCTCAATGCACAGGGGTGCCCGAGTGAGAACACATCTAATATTATGGCTATTCTTACTCATTGCTCCCAAAGCTCCCAGAAAACCAGGTGAGGGAGGGAATTCTTTCCAGACCCTAAATCTGATCAGTTCAACCTTGGAGATGTGGTGAGAAAAATCACAGTGGCTGAAGTATGGTTCTGTTCTGGCTAACATACCATGAAAATTGCATGTGGCTGCATGGTCAGTCTGCACATACAGTTAGAAAAACATAATTTTGAAAAGCCAGTCCCCAAAATCTGCTTTCATCTCAGAGTTTGGCTGGTTCTTTCTCTGGCAATTATGCAAAAGCATGAGATTATGTAATTAAAACTTGGATAAAACATTAACAATGTATCAGGCAGGAGCCTACATTAGATCATTCAACAGGTTCCTAAATCAGGTACACAAGGGAGCAGTCAACTTGAGTAAGTAGTCATTTACTGTCACCTTTATATCACTGCACTTTAAGAACTGAGTCATTTAGTACCTCAACGTGTCTCTGGAATACAAGTGACTACGTAGGTTCTCTCTTCAATGCATTTTGAAAATGTAATATGTAATACTGATGTGACGATGAGACCACTTCAGCTTTTCAGATAACAATGCTATGCCCAACTTCTAGCAGCTATAACAATTTTTATCCCATGCTCTCCAAGGTCAACTAAAGAACCTCCTGCTTTACAGAATCTTCAGAGGAAATTCAGCTTGTAACAGAGAGGGGTCTCCCTCCTACACAATGAAAAAAATCAAGCAAGCACTGAAGGGGCATTTATAGGAGCAGAAGCCACTGTCAACTGTGTGCCAGAACTAAAAGGAAAATAGGATCTAGGGGTCTTCTTAGCAAATGCTGCCCACCCAAGACCTACTCCTCCCGTGCATAACAGAAATTATTGCCCCCCACATGCCATATGAAATAGGGGTCTCAGTCCTGGTCACCCTGCTATCTGTGTCAACATAAACACACCACACTGAATTGTAGTGGGAATTTCCATGGCTCTTCGGCGTTTATAGCGTAAATCACTAGATGGTGGTTGGTTCCAGTTTGCTGATAAATAACCAAATTCATCCCAGAACTTGATGATCCCCCTCTGGGCTAGAAGGAAAAACAAAAACAAAATAACAAGATTCAGCAGGTTGTCATTACCACCACTATTACCACCTTATGCTTCATCTCTGGCAAACGTTTCCCTCTGCCCTGTATATCCACCAAGATTCCCATCCCACCTGTACCTGTGAAGTTATGAAGCCTCATTACCTATGGCAACATCCTTCCAATATTGTGCCAAGTGCTCCCCCATTGCCTTCAGCAAGTGTCGATACTCCTTTGCATCAGCAAAGTCCTGTTTATTGTGTGTGGGCTCCAAAACCAAGTAGGGTACATCCACCACTCCCAGCACTCCACCACATGCCCTAGGAGGTGAAAAACACACCATGACACACTGCTTGACTGCTAAAATCCACAAAGTTACCTGTCCAAATCAGAAGTATTAGAAACAGCTATCATCAATCATACACTGCAACTTTAGTTTGTCTATTTAACACATAGCCCATTTAGCAGAATTCGAAACAGTGAAACCATGCTGCTATTTTTTCAGTGTTAATGTAAGATCAGCTCTCTAAATCCCAGAGATTTGGGATGCATTCTGAGGAATCATCTAAAGACAAATAACCTGTTTTACTAGCGGTCCACAGAAAAGATTCCTTGTTTTAAATGCTGCGTTTTCTCTTCACCTCAGTAGACTACCTTATTTACCCTTTCCCCAAAGATTAATAATGGTTGATTATAATCTTTCAATTCTGCTGGCTATTTAAGGCCCCCAGTACCAAATGCTGACATAAAGCAGAAAAAAGTATGCCACTGCAAAGTGAACATTCATCTCTGTGCAAAAGTTAATCTTAATTGAGGAATCTTTAAATTATATATGTCCCATTTAACAAACCCAGATTCTGATTGTGTATGAAACTGAAATAATTGAAATCTTGGATTCCTGTGGAAGACCATGTTCCCCATAGGCAGCCTGCCCTGCTGTACCATGCCAACAAGCAAACAACTCTCTGAAGATTTCTGAAAGTAACTCACATGCCACCCTCCAGCTGTGGGCCCACCTTCTCATACATCTTAATCAGACGACTGCAGTTATAGATAAACATGCCATCCAAATCCCGTTGCTCAATATTCACTCCAAAAATGAAGTTCAACTCTTTAGGCTCTTTCAGTGCCCTGAAACAGATACAGACAGTTAAGAATTAAAGAGCTGCTGTGGAAGAGAAAGAAGGAAAAGATATAACAATGAACAATAATACTATACCTAAACTTTAAGAACTTGCAGAAAAGCCAGCATAGATAAAAAAAATCAACAATTTTAAAAAAATAAAACCACAATTTTTTATTTAAATCAGATGTTTTGATTTAATAGGGGTTTTTTGTTAAGATGCTTTAAAAAAAATAAACCTACACAAAGATAGTTTTAATGTAAGATATGTTAAAGATCAAAGATATCTTTGAGACAATATATTCATGTAACCTTTTTAGAAAAGTTTTATAAATAGGTTACAACAGGTCATGGACTATATTAGGGGCCCAATCTTATGGGGCTCCCAGAGGCTGCTCTATAGATTAGTAAAGATTAAAGAAAACCATTCTACCCAATGGGACTCAGTGCTCAGTCTAGAAGATCCCATTAAGCACCTCTGTGATGCTTAGTTTCAGTTCTCAAACTGTGGATTTGTCTCTCCAGAGATAACATCCTTGTTAACAGCAGTATATGGAGATGAAAGACAACAAACCAGATTACCTACCCATGAGCCCTACTGTCTCCCTACAAGTTTGTGTATATAGAGTGAAGCCCAATCTCTCTCTAATATTGCAGTTTAAAGGAGTTAAAATGAATAGACAATTGTTGCAGGTGGAGTAGATCTGGGCAAGGAGGAGTCGTCTGGAGATAAATGCAAGGAGGGAGGGGCAGCAGAAATAAGAGAGAAACATTTCTTATAGGGAGGCGGTTAGACAGGCCAAAGCTACCATGGAGCTGAGGATGGCATCCTAAGTTAAGGATAACAAAAATTTGTTTTTTTAGATATATAGGGAGTAAAAGGGAGGCCCAGGGTGGAATAGGACCTCTACTAAATGGGCATAAGCAATTGGTGATGGAGAGGGGGGACAAGGCTGAACTCCTCAATGAGTTCTTTGCCTCAGTGTTCCTAAGCGAGGGGCAAGACAAGTCTCTCGCTGGGATTGTAGAGAGGCAGCAGCAGGGCGCCAGACTACCAAGCGTAGACCCTGAGATGGTGCAGAGTCACTTGGAGGAACTGAATGCGTTTAAGTCGGCAGGCCCGGATGAGATCCATCTGAGGGTACTGAATGCACTGACTGACGTCAATGCACAGCCACTAGCGGGAATATCTGAACACTCATGGCACACGGGCCAGGTCCCGGAGGACTGAAAAAGGGCCAATGTGGTCCCCATTTTCAAGAAGGGGAGGAAGGAGGACCCAGGAAACTATAGGCCAGTCAGTCTCACCTCCATCCTTGGCAAAGTCTTCAAAAAAATTATCAAGGCTCACATTTGCGAGAGCCCGGCAGGAAAAATTATGCTGAGGGGAAACCAGCACAGGTTCGTAGCAAGTAGATCATGCCTGACTAATCTAGTCTCTTTTTATGACCAGGTTACAAAACACCTGGACGCAGGAGTAGGGGTAGACGTCATTTACTTAGACTTCAGGAAGGCCTTCGATACAGTATCCCACATCATACTGGTGAACAAGTTAAGAGGCTGTGACTTGGATGACTGCACGGTCCGGTGGGTGGCGAATTGGTTAGAGGGTCACACCCAGAGAGTCGTAGTGGATGGGTCGGTATCGACCTGGAAGGGTGTGGGCAGTGGGGTCCCACAGGGCTCGGTCCTTGGACCGATACTCTTCAATGTCTTCATCAGCGACTTGGACGAGGGAGTGAAGTGTACTCTGTCCAAGTTTGCGGATGACACAAAACTGTGGGGAGAAGTGGACACACCGGAGGGCAGGGAACAACTACAAGCAGACCTGGACAGGTTGGACAAATGGGCAGAAAACAACAGAATGCAATTCAACAAGGAGAAATGCAAAGTGCTGCACCTAGGGAGGAAAAATGTATACCTACTGCAGCATACCTACTGCCTAGGAAATGACCTGCTTGGTGACATGGAAGCAGAAAGGGATCTTGGAGTCCTAGTGGACTCCAAGATGAACATGAGTCGGCAGTGTGACGAAGTCATCAGAAAAGCTAATGGCACTTTATCGTGCATCAGCAGATGCATGACAAACAGAACCAAGGAGGTGATACTTCCCCTCTATCGGGCGCTGGTCAGACCGCAGTTGGAGTACTGCGTGCAATTTTGGGTGCCGCACTTCAAGAGGGATGTGAATAACCTGGAGAGGGTCCAGAGAAGGGCCACTTATATAGTTAAGGGCTTGCAGGCCAAGCCCTATGAGGAGAGACTAGGGCACCTGGACCTCTTCAGCCTCCGCAAGAGACGGTTGAGAGGCGCCCTTGTAGCTGCCTATAAGTTCATCATGGGGGCACAGAAGGGAATTGGTGAGGTTTTACTCACCAAGGCGCCCCTGGGGGTTACAAGAAATAATGGCCACAAGCTAGCAGAGAGCAGATTTAGACTGGACATTAGGAAGAACTTCTTCACAGTTAGAGTGGCCAAAGTCTGGAATGGGCTCCCAAGGGAGGTGGTGCTCTCCCCTACCCCTGGGGGTGTGCAAGAGGAGGTTAGATAGGCATCTAGCTGGGGCCATCTAGACCCAGCCCTCTTTCCTGCCTATGCAGGGGGTCGGACTCAATGATCTATTGAGGTCCCTTCCGACCCTAATGTCTATGAATCTATTAATTTTGCACAGAATATTCCAGAAGCCTTGAGGGATAAGTTTCTAGGTATAACCTCTGCATTTATTTGAGATCTAGCAATGGAATTATATGGTCGAAGGGAAAATCTATCAAGGCAGCAGGCTTGCCAGGCCATAACAGAGACCCTATTTGGGAACATTTTAATGAAATTCCTCTATTTGTGGGTAAGACAGTCATGCATACAAAATGCAAGCAGTGCAACAAAGAAAATCAAGGCTTGGTTGCCCAAAATGAAACAACATCATGAGAAGCACTCCTTCTCAGGAGGAAGCTGTTTTGAAGGCAATAAATGAAACATGTCTGAACATGCAGGATCTCCAGGTCAGTAGACTTCCTCATTTCATACTTCTTCCTTAAGGACTGCCTGCCTGCCTTGTCCATATCTTTAGGGTGGACATTTGGACTACTTGAATTCTCATTAAAATGCTTGAACAAAACTATAGTTATGACTTTATGGGACTACCATATTTTTAATGCTGTTGTGATATAAAATAATGGCTGAAACAGGCAGACCTTCCTTTTATAGTTTTACTTCTAAAGTAGTACTGAGTGTAATGTGTCACTGCTAAATGAGCAGTACTGTAATGACTGCATTGACTTTTTTTGTTGAGGATGGATCCTCCTGAACATACAAGATTCTGACTATCCATCTTCAACATCATCATCATCACTGTCTATAGTTTCAGAGTTATCTGTTAATGATACCAGTGTTTCAGTCAAATATGTCATCTATCCCCTGTAGCAAAAAGAAAAAAAATCTCTATCATCCAGAAAGGACCATAGATAAGTTTGTAGTAAGAATAAGAGCAGATTACAGCAAGAGATAACTGATGAAAAAATTGCTGGGTTTGTTTATGCAACAAACTCTCCTTTCCTGTGCTCTTGAAATGACCACAGGAGGTCACCCACATTTCACATCCATAGAGGAGAGTGGGGATGATGACTGAATTGCAGACCTAGATTTTGATCTCTTTCAGGAAACTGCACTGAATAAAAACACACCAAAGCAATTTCCCAAAGGAGGCACACTTGTGCACTAGATCCGGTGCTAAATCTCAATGTTCACTCTCTGAAAAAGGTAGCTACCAAGATAGGTAGAAGTGCTCGACTATTGCCAGGGTTCTTTCCCTCAATGGTAATTTGCAGCATGGGGTCACATTCGTCGCCCAGGGTAGGCTAATAAAGCACTTTAGTCTTCCCAATGCTGAGAGGGAAGCCCAAAGCTCAGTAGACTTCTCCGAAAAGATCCAGTGTGGTTTGGAGGTTTTTTTTAGTGTATGCAAGGACAGTCAAGTTGTCAGCATATTAAAGGTCAAGAATAGCTGTTTTGAGGACTTTGGTTTTTGACTGAAAACATCCCAGATTGAAGAGCTCTCCCTCCATTCAGCATTCAATGGCACTTCTGAAAGGTAGGTGGTCCTTAACGAGAACCAGGATGACTGTAAAAAAAACTGAGAACAGAGTTGGGGGGAGGACACATCGTGGCTTGACCCAAATTCAGATGACAAACAGATTACTCTCTGATCCACTACATAGAATGGGTGCAGTCATCTGGCTGGGGAGAAGCCTCTGGACCTTGATGTACTTTACTGGACATCCAAATCTAGCCAGTGCTTTCCACAAGGCTTTGCAACTGATGGAAGCAAAGGCCTTAGTGAGGTCAATGAAGGCCAAAGACAGGTTCTGATGCTGTTCCCAACACTTTTCTTGGACCTGGTAGGCAACAACGATCATGTCAATTGCCCCATAGAATGATCTGAAACCACATGGAGATACCAGCACAATTTTCTTAGCAAGAGACAGAAGATGGTTCAGGAGGATGTGGGCAAGGATTTTCCATGCTGTGGAAAGAAAGGAGGGAGGTACCTCAATAGTCCCCACACAGAGACTTATCTCTTCTTGAAGACACAATGTTAGCATTCCTCATGTCCCCAGGGATCTCCTTGTTAGAGATGCACCGATATACTGGTCCATATCATATCAGCACCAATAAAAATGTCAAAAATTGACATTATCGGCAATTGGCTTTTTTTGGTTGATGTGGCCGATAATGCCACCAATAAATGCCACGTGCATGTGCACAACCACAACATGCACATGGCAAGGAATTCAGCCCAACAGCTTGAAGAGCAGTATCTGACCAGTAAGTCTGTTGTGGGGAAAGAGGCACTGGGAGGGGAGGGGGTGATCAAGGTCCCCACAGTAAGGGAGGGAGTGGGGCTGGGGCAGGGACAGGCAGCTGCCCAGCTGGGGCAGGGGATGGGGAAGTAAAGAGGGGGCATCACTCCCGCCACTGCGTACACCCCCAGGGGAGGTATGGGGGGCATGTG